TATATATATATATATATATATATATATATATATATATATATATATATATATATAAATAAAAACATGGGGCCAGTGAAAATATTGGCAGTGCAAGTAGAAATCTGAAAAAGTACTCAATGTTGAGTCTTGTTGACCTCCTATGAGCCACAAAGAATCGTGCAGCTCTGGCCTCACTCACCCAGATCAATGACGTTTAGCACTTTGGTAAACAGTACGTAATCAGGAGGTCAGTGGACGTAAATGGAAGTTGAGCTATAGGTCGTGTCCCTCTGCATCATTTCCTGTCTGCTGGGAAAGCCGGTCAGGTTCTGTCCTAATGGCTTTGTCTAGGCAGGATGTCCATCTTTAGCGAGATCAGACCTGCTTTTAGGTCCCTCTGTCTGCGCCTCCGTATGGCCTGATTAAGCTACAGTAGTGTGATTTTGGGACATTATTTTGGAGTTTTGCTAGTGTTCTAGCCAGCACAGTCACAACCCTCCGTTGTCTAAAGTTGTTAATGTTTGTGTTTTTAACAGTTCAGTGTGACAATAAAAGATTGGTTTTTGCCTTAGAGTGATGTTGTCAGACGATCATACTAAGAAACGTTTTATATTAGTGTTTCATGTGATTTTGAGAAATGTTTATACCATGCAGTAAAAGGTAGTAACATATTTTCCTTGCATCTTGTGAGTGTAAGTGTACACATCTTAGTCTTTTTTAATTAAATGATAAATTACTATTAAAAATGGAGGAATAATGTGTGATACTATTAGTTTAAATAACTTTTCTTTGAATGTATTTTATACTACAGGCTTCAGAGTCACATGAAATCATCCCGGAAACCATTGTGGAAACCATGATGCATTTTTTCAGTATTGTTTGATTCATAGAATGTTTAAAAAATCTAAAAGAAAAGTCACGCTACAAGACACTACCTGAATAAATTATCAGATAATTTGACCTTTTTATAAAAAAAAAAATAACAAAACAAAAAAACGTTAATTCAGGCTGAATTAACGTTTTTTTTGTTTTGTTTTGTTTTTGTTTTTTGTTTTATAAAAAGGTCAAATTATCTGATATTTTAAGACTTATTAACACGGTCATAATGGATTCTCCCTTTTTTTCTACATAAAAGTTTTTCAAATAACAAATAATTTTGAAACACTATGCCAAACTACTTGATAAGCATTTCCTTTTAAAAAAAATCTTTGCCTTTGTCTCCTAAAAATATCTAAATGAATTGCAATTAAGAAATAAAAAAAAGGATCACAATAGAAAAACGTGTGTATTTGTGTCATTGTATGTTTAAATGACATTTTTAAACAAATAAAAAAAAAAATTAATAATTGATCCAGACAGAAGAAGAAAAAATTTTATTGATCCATTTACATAGTACCATGTCCAAGGAAGAAAGAAAAAACGGTCAGATGACTGATGTTACAGTGTGTTAAACAGTGTTTTATTTTGTTCTATAGCTATAAAGAAGATGCACAGAAAACATCTGATGTTTGCAATCCAGTTCTTCAAATGAGAGCTTTGGAGCATCTCACTTCAACGGTAAGAAAGCTATATCTCTCTATCTTTTGAGCTTTTTATTTATTTATTTATTTATTTTCATTTCCAAATCCTGTATTTATGAAATTGACATGTGAGTATACACATCCAATAAGACCAGTTTCGCACCTAAAAAAAACATCTAACAACTAGTGAACCTGTCTTTGTCTGTGTCTTCTACCCACAACATACAAAAGGTTTAGTACAGAGCATTTTCAGTTGCACAGAAGCCCTGTTACACCTGCGCTCTGTCTGTATGAGAGCCAGCAGCTGTGCTGTAATGACTGAATCAGTACATTACTGTGGCCATGTGGTGGATGCTTAGCTTCCAGCTATTAAGGCAATGTTGCAGAACCTCTCCTCAAGGTGGCCTGTGCACCTGCAGTCACCTTGGCAACAGAAATAAAAAGACACTTCCTGTGATTCAGAGAGGGTCACCATTTGCATCGGACACCATGGGAAACTGATGATGCTCACTATACATTTCACCTGAACCTTTGCATTGCTGTGTTCAGCTGAACAGTTGAGATGCTCAGTTGCATGGCTTAATCAATGAACTGTATCTTTAGCATGTAGCTTGTGGCGGTGTTTAGGACACCATGAAATAAAGTAGCTTTTTCTAGGCCATATTATTTTAGCCTTCATCAGATGTAATTTTAAACAGGATTTGTCATATATGTGTACATCAGTTTGTTTGAAAAATGAAGCTGATACACTGGTATATCAGCAAAAAAAGGTCTATTTGTTTTAGATAATGAGCTGTAGAAAGGCAAAAGATTGTCACACGTCTAAAAAAAAAAAAAAGTACTGTAATGAGCTGGAGATCAAAATATTGAAATTAGGATATGTACTGTAGGACACTATATCAGATCTTGGCCAATATTAGTGTCCCTTTTTTTTGTAAATGTTTTAGTGTATGTGTGTGGGTAAGGAGTTATTTTTAAGAATTTAAGATTACAAATACATATACATCCTATGGTAGTGAAAATACTACCGTTCAGGAGTTTTGATCAATAAGATTATTCATTCATTCATTCATTCATTCATTAAAAAAAATGTTTAAGGAAGTCTCTTCTGCTCACCAAGGCTGCATTTATTTGATCCAAAATACAGCAGTAATATTAAACAGCAAAAGTAATAGGATATTAAGACTTTGTAGCATTATAAATGTCTTTATTGTCACTTTTGATCAATTTAATGCGTCCTTGCTGAATAAAATTATTAATTGCTGTAACTTCTTTCCAAACAAATCTTACTGACCACAAACTTTTGAATGGTATTTCTCTTTCAGATAAATGCTGTTTTTGAACTTTCTATTTATCAAAGAATCCTAGAAAAAAAATGCACACAACTGTTTTCAACATTGATAATAATAATAAATGTTTACTGAGCAGCAAATCAGCATATTACAATAATTTCTGAAGGATCATGTGACACTGAAGACTGGAATAATGGCTGCTGAAAATTCAGCTTTGCCAACACAGGAGTACATTACAATTTTATATACAGTATATTCAAATAGAAACCAGTTCCTTTAATTAGAAAAAATATTTCACAGTATTACTGTTTTGCTGTATTTTGGTTCAAATTAAAGCAGCCTTGGTAAGCAGAAGAGACTTCTTTTAAAAGCAGTTATTCTATGTGTATCGGCCAGATTCATCATTTAGGTACAATGCTATTGATAGTCAAATCAGGAAAAAAAAAAGGTGGAGACAAAAATCATATTCCCACCGTAAATGATGGCGATGTTCATGTACACCGTTCACTTCTTTAGGTTTTTAGTGGAAACGGTTACTTAGTGCAGCTAATTTGTACTTGGCCTGTGCAGGGTCACAGTGGCACGGATCCCAGTCCAGCTCCATTTATCTTTGGCCTGAGTCTGTACACTCAGAACAGGGGCTGCCACATCGGACGGCCCCATAGGACATGTCGTTTTTATGGGCCACTAAGCACAGTTAAACACCTCCATTACACACCTGGTTTACAAATGCACAAGCCTCCCCTGGGCAGACAGCAGATGGACTTCCCCTCATAAGTGACTGATATTTCCTTTCAGATGCTTGATAGATTGGATACATTTGTATTCATAATGTGCTGTGGGATTTCAATGAAGAGTCTCTGCCTTAGATCACATGGATTTGGGATGAGTGCAGTCAGATCACGAATAGATCACTTAAAAGTTTTGAGCTAAGTTTTTTATGGATTCCCAAAGGAATAATGCAACAGTTGGGAAATCAAAGGCAGTCATGCTTAAAAGAATAAGTAATGCTGTCTTTTTATCCCCCTGCTAAAGAAAAACTTCCAAGTATGAATCAATTTAGAGAAGTGATGTTTTTCTCTGTTAAAACAGAGCTGAGGTTTAGTGCAGAACATGTTGAATCATAGCTTCAAAGTATTATGTATCTCTTCAGAAACTGAAAAAAGCACAGACCCACAGAATAGTTTCCCAAGCAGCAACATGCTCGTGATAAAAGGTTTCTGTAAGTTTTGAGTCCGCTATATCTGAATGTTTGAAAGAAGAACTAACCATACAATGAATGTATCTTTTAATAGGTGCAGAATGAACTGTTGGCAGCTCTGGCTCGCAAGGCACAGACTAAATCAAGTAAGGATTATTCTGTGTTACTTTTTTTTTGCCTTTTCAGTGTTTTGTTTGCATTTGAGCATTAAGTATTTGTCTAGATTCTTCACCTATCAGCAGCATATATATAATCGTTTGAATAATGTATAAATCACTACTTTTTTATCACCAACACTAGTGGATGAAGGTTCAGAAGGAGTCTGTTCTCAATGAGGTCTCATTTGAGAATAATATAGGTGCCTCCACATCACTCTGATTGGCCGATTTTTGTTTTTCCTCAGTGAACTAGTTTTTAGTTACCACTCAGCTCAATTAAAGCTAGGACCTTCTTGTCACCTGTGGTATTTGCCAAGGATACAGTAAATGACTAATGGTAACACTTTACTGTAAAATTTAGTTTGTTAATAAAAGTTAAATAGTTTGTTGTCAAATTGAACAAATTGAACTTTACTATAAAGTGTAACCTATTTTTCTTTTTCTTTTCTTTGGACACTTTTTCTTAGGTGCTCCCCCTCACACTAAACTCCTATTAACATGCCTAGTATTTGTGTCTAGTATTTTCAGTTATTATTTAAATTTCATTGTAAGTGCCTCGCTATAGCCCAAATTTTCCCAAAGTAACATATATAATACTTTTTATGCACATATTAGTCATATGTATTATGAATTACATGTTAATTTATACAACTTTAAATGTTAAAAATGTATTAATATATGTTGATGTTAACATTAGCCTAAATTAAGGAATTTTGTAAAATAGTTTATTGTTAGTTCATTATGCCTATTGAATCAGTGTTGATGACTATTAGAACTTTTGTTAATAACATAAATTTGATGTTATTGTTATAATTTTAGTTTTCACTTTAATTTTAAAGTTTCAGTAATTTTGTTGTTTTTGCCTTTTTTAAAGGGGTGGTTCATTGCGATTTCACTTTTTTAACGTTAGTTAGTGTGTCATGTTGCTGTTTGAGCATAAACAATATCTGCAAAGTTAC